TAGTTTGACACTTTCTATAGGTGGATATTTTAGCAGTTCAGCTGTCCAAAACAGAAAATGAGTTGCTTCAGCAGAAAACCGAGGTCACGAGAATAGCGACTTCACTAAAACTGGTGAGTTGATCCTTGTACTTTGGAAGTATCTTTATTCTATGGACCTTTGTAAGCACATTTTAGTACCATGATCCATTCTGTGTTCTCTGTTTACAATGTACTATCAAATGTCATGTGTATTTTCCCTGCTTGCTACTAGCTTTGGAGGAAAACTTAGTTCCGTCGTTTTTAAATGTAAATTATCTGCCATGATTAAGCAAGCCAAGCTGAAGTTTTGCCTTTGTTGGGACTTCTGAAACAGAATATCAAACAATACTACAAATTTGAAATGGTGTTCTTTTCTTGCAAATGCACAACAAATTTTCAGGGGCCTGCCGATGGTTTGTTGAACAGCAAATTTTTAGGAGTTCTTCCTGATTTTCTTACCATGGTTAAGAAAATAACATGCTGGCAATGATTTGTGCGTAAAGCATGTTCCAATTCCTCTTGGATTGGCGCGTCGTTTTAGTATTTTTTATAAACATCATTTATCCATATCAAGTATGCTTAATCTTGGTATATTCCCATTTTTTCATTTTGACAAATCACTCTTTCTATATCGTTCACAGGCTTCTGAAGATGCTAGGAGAATTGTTGACGAAGAACGAACTAATGCATGCATGGAGATTGAAAATGCTAGAGCTGTTGTACAAAGAGTTCAAAAAGTACTTAAAGAGAAAGAGAACAGTTCACAAAGAATTAGAAAGCAGGTAAATTGTATATAATTTTATGAGCAGCATATTATCTTGTTTTCTGTACTTTAGTACCAAGCTTACCTGGAACTTATGCCTGAATCTGTATTCCTTATATATTCTTTTATTTATGTCATATACGATTACTCCCCTTGACTTCTGTACAGTTTTTCTATTCAAAACCAGTGGTAGTTTATTTTAATTTGACTATGCAACCTTCTACGTACTGCATCATACAACAACAGACCTTCCTGCCCAACTTTGCTTTTATTGCTTGCTTGTCCAGATGCTGTGCTTTGACACTGTCCTCAATTTGTTATACTCATTGTATTACTTGCTCTATCTTGAGAATGTAGATTCATTCGGTTGGGATATAGTTGGTATTAGAGTATTACATATCCATTGTGAATAATTTTAGACTATTCCATCGAAGCATTTTGTCCTCATGCAATTTCTATTACATGTAATGACTTAATATTATGACTTTGATGATATATATCTTCAAGCAGTCCTATTATATTTGTTTGTTTTCTGGCATGTTGAAACACTTAATAAGTTATTTGTTTGTTTTTCTGGCTCAAATATATATATGAGATTTCATTAAAAAGTTAGGCAGTCAACTATGGTCATGACTTAAAAAGTTAGGTGTATGACACACATGCGATGTCCAGAATAGACTGTTAGCCTATAAATCTGAAAGAACTGTTTGTATTCAGTTGCAGCCCACCTAATAGGACTGCTTGATTCCGTCGAGTATGGAAAAAGCGAAAGGTATTTTACGGTCTCTTTTGCGTTCTTCTTCTGTTACTTGCATATTTTCTGTGGTATCATTCAAGTCATCTACTGATGTCTTCCTTGGGTTTCTCTCAAAAGCGAAAGGTAAAAACAACATGATAGCAAACGAGTATGGAAAAAGGACAATCATTTTACCTTCTATATTTTTATCTGCAATTACATCAGACGTGCCCGTAGCTTTAGGAGGATATGTTGATTCATTATGCGAGATTGATGTATCAACCGAGCTAGCTGGGTCATCTAATATAACATGCTTGGTTAGTATTTATTAAAATGGCTGAACCATGAATGCTAGGATGTAACATAAAATAATCTTACTTGAATTACAAAGGGGACGAAGATCAACTTTCCTGTGCTTATCATCTCACGTGGGTTTGATTAGCTGCCCCAACATATGATCTGCCCCAACATTAGTTCCTATTGTAATCCAGCATGGGCGTTCAGAAAGCAAAGAGAAGTTAAACATAATCACAAATAGTATGATTGTCAAATACGCACATATAACTAACGACATTGTAAATCCACCAAATATGTACCAGGGATCACATATGAAGATTGTTGAACATTTGTGATATCACATAGAGTACGGCGGTGAACAATCGGCCCATCGTCTAGATGGTTTATAAAACCATCTGACTTCTTAGTGCGATAAGATGCCCGCCTCCACGCGTTGATAAGATCCCTATGGTCTACCATTTTTACAACAGGTATGAGAGTTAGAGAACAAAAAAAGTATGTACAAATCACTTAGATAGATGTTGATACAACATCTATGAAACCAACACGGGGAACATCTATGAAGTCAGGTTACTATAACGATTAATTTGCATACTATAGGTATTCAGAAAAACCCAAGAGTAGTCAGCAAAATCACGCTTAAATACTTACCAGTCTTTGAAAGGGATGGCTGATTATCCTCTTGTAACCTGGCCATATCCTCCTCTTTTTTCTTCCGATAAGATTCACGCCTCTATGCGTTGAACTGCTCCCTTGTTTCGCCAACGTTTTTTTCTTCATTACATACAGCTACTGTTGCATGCTGCTCGGAAGTTTTTGTCATCTGCATTACGTTAAGCGTAAAAACCACAAAGCCCATTAAGCTCATCTGGGAAAATGGACTAAACCTCTCCGATCCTCTACCGGAGATGTCGATTTGGAAGCTGTATAAGCATGCCTGTGAATACCTTGAGTATCACCTCGTAGCTTAGTCATACCATCCTTATTATTCTCAGAATACGACGGAATCCCGTCGTTTGAAGGTTCCCGCCCTACATCTTAGCAATCAACAAAATATACGGTATGCACGAGACATTAGCAGCAATCTTGACACAGTCTTATACCTGCTCCCGTCGTGTAAATATCGTGAATATTTGCATGTAAGGGTATGAAGTTTGCATTGTAGTCTCCAACATTTATCCCGCTCGTAAGGACTACAACACATAAAATGCATTCTGCCACTTTCATAAATGCACGTGAGGCAACATTTATAACCAATCTTCGCACAGTATTATACCTGATTCCGTCGTGTAAACGTTATCAACAATTTCGGCTACGGGTATGATGCTCGCATTGTGTTCTGCATCACTTCTCCCGCTTGTAAGACCTGGAAGACATTACGCATACAGTCTGTCACTGTCAGATATTCAGGTCTCGCAACTAAACAAAAACATGGTAGACTGCATCATACCTGTAGTTACATCATCTTCTGGTTGATGTTCGCGTGCCGTGCTTTTTGAATTCCCCATATGCAACTATTGAATGGCAAAAATCATGAAGACAGAAATGGTAGTTCTTTGATGATCTTCACCAACATGGTAATTTCTTCTACATCTTTGACATTCTGCAAGGGTTATTGTTCTACATATATACTGCAACATGTTGCTAGCATATACTGCAATTGTATTTTATTCTACATATATACTGCAATGGCACTTTCATCTACATCTTCTACATCTCTGTACTTTATTAGAATGCAAGTGTTTTTGTTCTATCTTTAGTTCAGCACAAGTGGAAACATACTCTTAGGTCCTGTATGGTTTATGTTTTCTTTTTTGCCATATTCACACAAGTGCAGGATGCAGGATACTCCTTGGTACAAAAAAATGCCAATTGCCAACTGTAAACATGTCTACTTTTAACATGAAAAAAACCTAAACTGTGTGCAACAGAAATCAATCTCGCAGGCGGATCCATCCCTGTGAAAGCACTTGCCATGGCTGTATGACATGCGATGGATGTATGGGCTGTGAGATGTATGAGATGCGATTGTATGGCATTTGAGATATATGAGATGCGATTGACGTATGAGATGGTTTGTATACCTATTTTTCGGATCCAGGACGTGTTCTGGCCGGATCCTGGACGTGTCCGCGTATACTCGTCTAGGATCAGCGCCGGATCCTGGATCAAGGGCGAGGAGTTCAGCGCGCGGCGAAGTGATGGAGGGCGGCGACGACCTGATCCAGGACCAGCGCCGGATCGTCGAGGTGTTCAGCGCGGCAGCGAAGTGATGGAGGGCCGCGGCGACCTTGTCCAGGATCGACGCGGATGGAGGACGGCGAGTGAAGCGGGGGCGGCGACCTCGACCACGATGGAGGGCGGCGACGATGGAGGGCAGCGACTGAAGCGCGGCGGCGCAGGGATGTAGGGCGGCCACGAAGGGAGACCTCGCTTGATAACAGGACTCGTCGCTCCTACGTGCGTCCGCACGGTTTTTCTGTCGCTGGTTAACCGTTGTAGGTTTTTTTGTCGCAGGTTAACCTTCGTACGTCTATTGAGGGTCACATGTGGATAGGTGCGGGTTCGGGCCTCAGGAGGAGGTTTTTTTGGTCTGTGATGGCTTAGTCAGAGGTGGGAGGAGGTACCAAAATAAACCATGGGAGGTGGGACTAAAAAAAACCTGGAAGCGAGACTACCAACTGCTCCCTTAGCCGCGGCGACCTTGTCCAGGATCGACGCGGATGGAGGACGGCGAGTGAAGCGGGGGCGGCGACCTCGACCACGATGGAGGGCGGCGACGATGGAGGGCAGCGACTGAAGCGCGGCGGCGCAGGGATGTAGGGCGGCCACGAAGGGAGACCTCGCTCGATAACAGGACTCGTCGCTCCTACGTGCGTCCGCACGGTTTTTCTGTCGCTGGTTAACCGTCGTAGGTTTTTTTGTCGCAGGTTAACTTTCGTACGTCTATTGAGTGGATAGGTGCGGGTTCGGGCCTCAGGAGGAGGTTTTTTTGGTTTGTGGTGGCTTAGTCAGAGGTGGGAGGAGGTACCAAAATAAACCATGGGAGGTGGGACTAAAAAAATCTGAAAGCGAGACTACCAACTGCTCCCTTAGGAGTAGAGACTACTCCGCAAATCCCCTTTCCCCGCAGTCACATCCACCGCTCAAACCCTAGGAGAATCCGTCCCGCCGATCCACTCCCATGGCCGCCGCCGACCCGAACTGGATGATGCTCGATCGTTTCGTCTTCCGCAGGGATGACGCCGAGTCCTTCCTGGACGAGGACGCCGCCCCCTTCACGATTGAAGGCGACTTCTCACCGGACGACATGTTCTCCATCGCCTTCCGCATCGCCAAGCCTCCGGTAACCTCCCGCATGTACCTCAAATGGAAGTGCGGCCCTAAGGCAGGCCCCGGGTGCATTCCCGTGGCAGCGCACCGTGGTGTTCTTCTACTCAGGTTCACCCCTGAGCCGGGGAAGCTCGGCTTTGTGGAGCACTTCTTCATCTGCAGAAGTCGGTATGACCCGCTTGACAGCTCGCCCTTTGCACTAGAGCGAATTCCTTTCTGCGCCACGATATGGCATGACGAGGACGGGACAGAGATAGCTATGCGACGACTGTTTGGGGATGACACCGTTGGCGTATTGTCCCGTGATGAAGATTTTGCCATAGCGCAGCTCGTCGTACGCAGGCCCTTGGTGAAGGCTGATAAGATGGAATCGGATCTGTGTGTGCTCCGATCCAAGTCAAATACCGATCATACATGGGAGATTGAGGAGGGGCTTCCTATCCTCTACGAAGCGGATGAAATCTGTGACTTGAAAGCTTGGAGTACCCATAGAGTCATCCCCTTCAACGAATACTTATGCTGGGTTAACTATGGTATAGGAGGTGTCTTATTCTGCGAGGTATTTGAAGAAAGGCCCAAGATTTCGTACCTGAGGTTGCCCATACATAACCGCCGCCTAAGGCAACGCCGTGTACTTGACAGAAAGTGCAGCGTGTGCTTGACGAAAGGCTACTTTGGCGCCCATGAGCTAGCGTTTGTTGATGTTGATCGCGAGGATGGTTACCTTGTCGGCCCACTGAGCCCTAAAACTGGTTTTACTATTGCTTACCATGTTCTAAGGAAAACAGGCTGTAGTGGCATGAAGTGGGATCTGGTCTTTTTCCTCACATCTGCTGAACTGTGGGATCTCAACAAATCTCTGCCACGCGAAGCTCTGACATTTCCTCATGTAAGTATGGATGAGCCTAATGTGGTACACTTTCTGTTGTCTCAGCCAGTGTCGCATAAGTTTGTGAAGGTTTCAGTGGTTTCCATCGACATGATTAGACGCAAAGTGCTCTCAGTAGTTCCATATATTGAAGAGAACGATATCCATGGAAAAGACTCCCAGATGGTCTTGGGAGCGTCCAGTTATCTCCAGTCCTTTCTTCCCTCCGAACTTCCGAAGTTCATTGATCCCGCCTGGTACTTGACTACTTGCATCTTCCATATTTATCTGTGGGCACACTTTTCATTTTTGCACTTAATTTGTTGCTTTCTCTGTGTTGCCAACATGGCTGAATTTGAATTTTGTTATAAAACTAATGACAACTAGGCTAAGAACGAGAACCAGTTGCTGTTACTTTAGATAGCAACATCTGCAATTTGATATAATAACACAAAAGAAACAACTTATTTTTAGCCGCTGTGAGTTGTTTCCACCCTGTATACAATGTTCTGCATTTATATTTAAAGTAGATTTTTATTGAGTCAATTCACTGATTCACTTGCTATCCTTGTCTTGCTTACGGAGTCAATTGAATCTGAACGAACAAATTCTAAATTACTCAAAAGCTTTGTTGCACAGCACGACTAATAGTTAAACGTGGTCACAATAATGTTTACTTGTATATCTACCATTCCATTATCTAGTAATACTGAAATAGAGTTAGTGGGGCTGTGGAGCAGTAGGATTTTTTTGTATTTGTTTTTTTGCACTTTATTTCAGTAAGAACACTTGTTTTCATTAATTCACTAGTTCACTTTATTTAAGTAATAATATATCAGCAGTTCGCCTTTTTTTCCCTGCAGCAAGCATGTCTTGGATTCTCCTACGGCTGCGGCTGCTTCTCGTCCTACTGCTTCATCACAAGTGAACATCAAAACTGAAGAAATAACAGATGATTGTCCTGCATTTAATACTAGGAGTAGGAAAAAAAGAGTTATCTGATGTAATGGTTAATTAGTACTACTGCACTAGTATTATCATGGCTTTAGTGGACATGTCTATGATTGTGATTTGCAGTGGTGTATTTTGGTTGGTAGTAAGTGCCAAGACGTCTTGGTATGTGGTAACTGGCAGGATATATGAGATACTATACCTTAAGCTATGCTATTGAAATGTGTGTTCAATGATCTTGTTACTTGATGTTATGTCCTGAGATGGGGATTGTAATTTGCCTGGTGCTTCCTCTGAGGAAATTTAGTGTTTTATGTTCCACTTTTGTCGTGTGGTGGACTGAAATGAACTCTAGATGCTAAAATGAACATTCCTGATCCATCCATCCCCTTCAATTAGTACTGAAATGAAATAAGTAACTCAGTTATGAAGCCATTTGTTCCTGAGACTAGGGCTGTGGATGGTCAAGTGGCAAGTCCTCACTGTCTGTTTAAGTCAGGGAGGTTTCCATGAATAATGTAATGGAAATCAGGTGAGAATCAAGATTGCTGTCAAGGTATGCCATTTCTTTTGATATAACTGTGCGTCTACTGTGTATGCTCTATCTGCATTTCGCTAATGTTGATAATGGTTTAATAATTTAATAGACGTGGAACCTTGGAAGGGCTTACACATGTCAAATTGTATATTACAACGTGTCAGCTGTCTTTTAGTTGTACTAGTAAGTTACTCACCTGCTTAACATTATATTTTATATGGAATACATGGTATTGCGGTTTCAGATTTCCCATATCTTCTGCTTGTTAATAACGCCTTTTGTAATTTAGATATCTTAAGTCGATTATACCTTGCATGGAACACAGACACTGACAACAATCTTCATTGTTTTCTGTGTGCCATTCTCTGCTGCCGGTAATATGATTTTTTTACGCTGGTAGTAGGTAATATGCTTCCTAATGACTTGGATCTGATCTTCTCAGGAGTTCGTTTTAGCTGGTATAGCTTCAGAGATTATGTATCTCTCATCTTTTCATCAATAGTGTGTTTGATTTTTATTAGTTGCTGCCTGCCTTGCTACTTTGCTGGTAGTGCTTTTCTTCTTGCTACTTCTGGTAAGAAATGCCAAATTGTTCTTCCTTGCTTTACAAACGATCTATTTCCTGCTTGTCCCGTCTGGAGGTCATCGAGCCATTCCAAGTTATTGATATTATTGTGGTTGAAATGGAGTGCTAAGAGGACTTGGTTTGTTCTTGTAAGTTTTGTCAGTCAATCTTATGGGAAGCAATGATTGTAGCATGCTAAAGCTTCAAAGACATCAGAACAGGTGCTTGATCCCAGTCCTTCATTATCTACACAGCTTGTAGATTGAAAAAAAAGTGTTCCTGCCATAGAACTTGCTATAGAATTGAAAGCTGTTTCTATTCATGTAATAGTGTAATGCGATGTCCTGTGGCAGGCTGGCAGCTACTCTGCATTTCAAGTTGTGTAATGTTTGTTTGAGACAAGCTCGTTCGTTCGATCTTCATTGCTTTTAGGATTATACCAATGACATTAAGAATTTTATCACATTCCTGAGTTATAAATGCACCTAATATGACCTGGTATCTGTGGTAACAAGATTTAATTTTTTTATTCTATATCCAATTCAACTATGTTTAGATGGTATGCTGTTCCAGTTAGTAGTGACGTCAGGTGCTAGCATTCACATATTCTCTTCTTGTTTCATTGTTTATTATATTTAGGTGGGTGGATGTGGATTACAATTGTTTGGTTATATACTGTTACTACCCTTTTATCATATATGGTCTGTACTTTTACTTTCTAAAACACATAAAACCAGACCTTTACAGACACTTTATTTGTGAGGGACATGTATTTATTTGCAATTCCCTCTTGATGATAACAGAAAGCACTTGCTGTTCTATGAAGATAGCATCAACTCAGTACCATCTAAAAGGTAAGAAATGGAGAATATGATCAATGTGAGGATGAAATGGGGGTGCTGGAGCCAATATTGACACGTTGCATGATATTTCCCACTGGTATTTCGACCACAATATATGTTCCACGCCTGCTAGTTTTGTACCTTTGTGTTATATGGAGCTGTCAGCTTAGTAATTTGATGTTGCTTGAGCTGTGAAGATTATATTCAGTCCATGAGTTTGTAGTGCGATACTTATGATGTGGTAAGTTTTTATGCACTCATTATTTCATATTGTTTTTGCTGATGATGGTTGAGTCCAACACATACTAACTAATTCTTGGTCTCTGTTTGACTGCAGTGAAGGGTTTGGTTGAGTAGGGCGTGTAGTTGACATGGTGGGAACCTCTTGGGTGAGAATTAAGAAATCCCGCACGCTGCCTTCACTGCACGATTTTACGCCTCATGGTTTTCTGCACACATGTTTTGCAGAACGATTAGCTTCCTCCTAGGTCCATGTCAGAAATGGATCCTGTATTGGCTCACTTACATGTGAATTATGGGATTGGAGGGGGTATACAAATGGCCTTTTTGTGTGCCAAATGCTAGTTGCATGAGGCACAGTTTGATCTGGGAATGAAATGGTCGTCACCATGTGGTTCGATGAGTGGCGTGAGGGTGGATTAAGCTTGCCATTTCTGTTTTCTAGTGCTCTTTGCATATAATTTTAGCTCAACTGCATGACACCAGAGCTCAAAGGCTGTAACTTTGTTATTGGTTTTTAATTTACTTATTCGTTCTATGGAGTACTGGTGGATGTACTATCGTTGGCAGGGAATGTAGATGTGTCTGTCGTCTAATTGGAGACCATGATAAATGAAGAGGCACAAAAGTGTGGAAATTGACTGCTATGCTTGCCTAACATCAGTTACATCTTGGAGAGTCTAGCACCTTGTGGGAGCATTCATGTAATCATGTTTACACATTTTTTTGTCAAAAGGCACAACATTCTTATTTTGGATTTTGATTCGTCACAGGCTGTATATGGTTTATGGTTTATAGGGACACAATGTTGATGGGTTAGTTCAGGGTGATTTTGGAAGTTTTGAATTAGTGGTTGCAATAGTTATTGTGTTATTACTTATTAGGGCAACTCCAACACAAATCAGACTGGATTATAAGTTGATTTATATTTTAAGTAGATTTTTAATTAGTCAATTCACTGATTCACTTGCTACCGTTGTCTTGCTTACGGAGTCAATTGAATCTGAATGAACAAATTCTAAATTACTCAAAAGCTTTGTTGCACAGCACGACTAATAGTTAAACGTGGTCACAATAATATTTACTTGTATATCTGTCATTCCGTTATCTAGTGATACTGAAAAAGTGTTAGTGGGGCTGTGGTGTAGCAGGATTTTTTTTGTATTTGTTTTTTTGCACTTCAGTATTGCAGTAAGAATATTTGTTTTCAGTAGTTAGTTAATTCACTTTATTTCAGTAATAATATATCAGCACTTTGCTTCTTCTTTTTTTCCTGCAGCAAGCATGTCTTGGATTCTCCTGCTGCTCCACCTACTCGTACTGCTGCTTCAACCAAGTGAACATAAACACTGCAGAAACAATATATGACTGTCCTGCATGTAACACTTCATTATCATGGCTTTAGTGGACATGTCTATGATTGTGATTTGCAGTGGTGTATTTTGCTTGGCAAGTGCCAAGATGTCTTTGTGGCAGGATATATGAGATATTGTGCCTTAAGAGGTGGGTGAGGTGTGAGAGTTGTAAACACCTCTGGTGGACTCGGCTTCTTTACCCATTCTTCTTTAATATATGATACGCACATTCGTGCGTATTCTAGCGAAAATTTGTGCCTTAAGCTATGCTATTGAAAGTGTATTATAGCCTGACTTGTGTTCAATGATTGTGTCCCTTGATGCTATGTTCTGAGATGGGGATTATAAGTGGCCTGGTGCCTCTGAGGAAATCTATGTTCGTTTTGTCAAATGAACTGTAGATGCCAAAATGAACATGGCTGGTCCATCCACCCCCTTTAACTAATACTGATGAGAAATTAATAACTCAGTGGTAAAGCCACCTGTTCCTGAGACCAGGGATGTAAATGGTCGAGTGACAAGTTCTCATTGTTTGTTTGGGTCAGGGAGATTTGCATGAATAATGTAATGGAAATCATGTGAGAAAAGGCTGCTGCTAAGGTACGCCATTTCTTTTGATATAACTGTGCCTCCAGCCCTCCACTGTGTATGCTCATCTTACTGCATTGTGTAATTCAAATTGTTTATCACAACCTGTCAGCTCTCTGTTTAGCTGTGCTGGTAGGTTACTCACCTTCTTGGAACCCAAATTTGAACTAAAACCACGTCACTTATTCCGAGCGGATGAAGTATTTTATATGGAATGCATGGTATCACAGTTTCAAATTTCCTATATCGTCTGCTTGTTGATAATGTGTTTTGTAGTTTAGATTTCTGAAGTTAATTATATCTTGCATGGAACACAGATAGTAATAACAATCTTCATTGCTTTGTGTGTGCCGTTCTCTGCTGCTGATAATATGATTTTTTTTTACGCTGGTAGTAGGTAATGCGCTTAATTTGCTTCCTAATGACTTGGATCTGATCTTTTTGGGAGTTCGTTTTAGTTTTTAGAGCTTCAGAGATTATGTATATCTCGTCTTTTCAACAGTGGTGTGTTTGATTTTTATTAGTTGCGGCCTGCCGGAAAATTCGAATCTGCCTTGCTAATTTGTTGGTAGTGCCTTTCTTCTTGCTACTTCTGGTATGGAAGGCCAAATTGTTCTTCGAGCTCATCTGCACCTGCGCTCACGAAAAAAATCAAAATAAATACTAGAAAAATTCAAAAAAATTTAATTTTTTTTGGGTGGTAGACAATTTGATGCGTGAGGTACGCTCCAATTTTCAAAACATTTGGACTTCTGTGCAGCTCTCAGCAAAAAAGACAAATCGGAGGTCTGTAAAAATGTGCACTGTTCATATACTGTTCTGGTCTGATTTGTCTTTTTTGCTGAGAGCTGCACAGAAGTCTAAATGTTTTGAAAATTGGAGCGTACCTCACGCATCAAATTGTCTACCATCCAAATATTTTT